GAAAGAATAATAGATATACTTTTAAAAATGTCATTGCAAAGTACCTACAAAAGTGATTTAGAAATCATAAATACTACTCAGGGCCAACCGAATTGTACTCTATTCAGGGACAAATACTATCTCATTTTTTATAAATGTTGTATTGGTAGACAATACTGTGAGTGCTGAAAGTAAACTCAATAACGATAAGTTCACTATTCTCTTTATCTCGGCCAACAAACACGCAAAGCAATACGTACATTAAGACTGAGCTTTTCATAGTAAATATGATCGAACTATCAGGCTCCACCCTGTATAAACCTTGGACGTGCACATATTGCACAAAGCATTGAAAAATACATCATTTAGTTATGCGTAAACTGAAATAAATGTAAAGACAAACTCAAAGTCTCGAAAAGAAAGATATTACCAAAAAAAGTTCTCAAAAAGAGAGAAAGATATTCTCAAAAAAAAATCTCAAAAAGAGAAAAGGAATGACCTCATCGTGTGACCAAAACTGAAGCCATGTGAACTTAACCACATGTTGCAATAGTGCGGCGGGAGTGCTCTGATGCTAAGCCAAGGTTAACACTGGTGCGGATATGCCTGTCTTTTTTTTTGTGGCTCGCATAAATGTTAGCTAAAGAACACAATGAGAAAGTAATCATGGAGCCAAAGTGAAGCCAATTTCCACCGAGGCAAGGGGAAGAACTATTCCTTCTATGAGTAGCTTTATGCTATATCCATCTACTTCATACACGGACATATTGCCCAAGAAATACATATATATCTACTTTATACATAAATTTGCCAAGCGGGACCGTTTGACTGGAAAAAAAAACGACTCATGCATCACATGCAGTAGCTAATTCGAGCTCAAATCCAAATGGCGGCCATTGTCAGCAACTTTAACTTCAGTTATTCCAGTATGTTTATATTATTAGTTATAAATAAGTTTCAAATAATTATTGAAAATTGTACTTCTAGCATGCATATATAAAGGAGTTATGCAACTGCACTGAATTTGTCACACAGCCTAAAATAAAACGAAAATCTGGTGAAGGACCTATTGGAGTTGAAGAAATATCAAGCGCTCCACTTAACATCTTTGCCCCATCCTTCTTCTCATTGTTTAGTATAAGAAAGATAAATTATGAGAATAGAGATGGAGTTGTATTCATCTGCAGCCACTAAAGGAACGTATTCAAGCATATCATCAGTCACCAATATTTGAAAAATCAATCTTCCGCTATTGAAATGAATAAAGTATGCAGAGATCAAATGCGAAGAAAAATAGGAAAAGCTTGTACCCCAAACATGACGGTGAATCTTGGTTTTCAGTAGTATGTGAATCTTCGCTTGTTATCCCCGCTTTGTATTCATGTTGCCTAACTAAATCAATGTTAAAAGAGTGGCAATAATTATCCAGCATGTAAACATGGATTTTCAGATTAACTCATATATACTATACACTATGCTCCCTAATTTTTGAAGGCCCTGCAATCGATTGAGGTCTTTAATTTAAAATTGGGTCATCTGATTTTGACTGGGTCAAAAATTTCTCAAGGAGCTCTCTCATTTAATTATTTTAATATACCATGCTCCCTAATTTCTAAGGCCTAGCAATCAATTGAGATCTTCAATTTGGAATTGGATCATCCGATTTTCACCGGGTTAACAATTTCTCAAGAAGCTCTCTCCTTCAATTCTTTTAATACACTATGTTCCCTAACTTTAAGGTATCGTCGCAATCAATTGAGGTCTTCAATTTGAAATTGGGTCATCCCATTTTGACCGGATCAACAATTTCTAAAGGAGCTATCGCATTTAATTTGGACTACTTTTTTTGCATACGGTCAATAAATAATATATCATCGCTCATCATGCATGCATTGTGCTCCCTCTTCCCTCTCTAAACTAATATAAGATCTTTTAGATCACTACTTAGTGATTTAAAAGATCTTATATTACTCTCTTCGTTCCAAATTACTCTCTTCGTTCCAAGTTTATATTATTACTTAGTTCAACGAGTAATTTGGAACGGAGGGAGTACTTTACAGAGGGAGTATATTCTAGCTACCTAGCTGAAGTAAGCAGGAAAAGGAAGTATATACTTGGTGGCTGTGCTGTGCTTTTAACAGTTCTCTTCTTTTGTACTGCTAATAAGCACCACTATCCAGATCGATCACAACGTCTTGATTGGGCAGCTAGGTGAATCTGGCTAGCGATCGTGCGCACATGCATGCGCAGTCTTGGTTACACACAGCATAGTTATAATCTTAGATTTGCATAATAATATATTGTGGATGCTTTGTTTGCTAGCCAGCTAGTATCCCGCAAAAAAGAAAAAGTAGCCTAGTGGTACAATGTCAAATTGCCAATCAACGCACTTAGGCACTATGTAGACGCATGGCCTTGTCTCTGGATGGGTTCGCTTTAATTAACTAATTCTTCTTGCGTTACTATATAATATCCCGTGGATGATACACTATTAGCGCATGTGTGGTCTACAGCAATACCAAACAGTGAAAAGGCTGGCTGGCATCGTGGTTGTGGATGCTCTACTTTTTGAAAAAACAAATAGGCGAAAAGAGAGAGAAGAGCTCATCTCATATTCCCTCCATTGCAATAAATAAGGTACGCACGCATAAATTAAACAAACTAAATGTGGCTTGTATGTGATAAAAAAAATCACACCGTATAATTCGTATTGAAAAAGAGTTTTCGACCGCATAATTTTTATATCACAAAAATGTATATTAATGAATTTATGGTTAAAATTAGATTTTAGAAAGCGTGCATGCCTTATTCATTAAAATGGAGGGATTAGCTGAGGTGGCCCTGTCGTGTGAGTCTGTCCAAAGTCTCTGGAATTATTATTTGGATGTTCAGTTCAAAATCAATATATGATACTCCCTCCGACCCACAATGTACTGCATATCGTTTTTTTAATGTTAAATTTTGACCAAGTTTATAAATAAAACTATTTACTAACAAATACATATCATTAGATACATCACGCGGCATATTTTCATAATGTATATGTTTTGTATTCTAGGCCTAAATATTTTGTTCTAAAACTTGAGCTTTCTAAAATTGGACTTCACAGAAAATCATTATGCATTACATTATGTAATGGAGGGAGTATCTACGTACAGTTGAAACGGAATGCATGCATGGACATGTGTATATGATGATCCAAATCTTCTATATCTAAATAGCTAGCCTCCTCTAACATATTTCTCTCAACATACACATGCTTCACCTCACCATGCAAGCATTCATGAAAAAAACCTATCTCAACATGCCAACATGCATGAGAAAATGTTTTCCTTAATAATTAAATACACTAAATCATATATAATTTTAGTTTTAGTTTTAGTTTCTCATATTATTTATACAAATATTCATGATCTAAATACCAAATTTCATGAAAACATATTTCATGAAATGCTAATTATATTCTTTTTCACACACAGTCCACCTGACCACCTATGTATGCTACCCCACGAACGTCACTACTTCTAATTTTCTCTACATGCATGGAAACGTCTACTTATATAATAATTAAATACAATAAATCATATGGATTTTTAGTTTACATTCTCATGTATAAATTATGTAATGGAGGGAGTATCTACGTACAGTTGAAACGGAATGCATGCATGGGCATGTGTATATGATGATCCAAATCTTCTATATCTAAATAGCTAGCCTCCTCTAACATATTTCTCTCAACATACACATGCTTCACCTCATCATGCAAGCATTCATGAAAAAAACCTATCTCAACATGCCAACATGCATGAGAAAATGTTTTCCTTAATAATTAAATACACTAAATCATATATAATTTTAGTTTTAGTTTTAGTTTCTCCTATTATTTATACAAATATTCATGATCTAAATACCAAATTTCATGAAAACATATTTCATGAAATGCTAATTATATTCTTTTTCACACACAGTCCACCTGACCACCTATGTATGCTACCCCACGAACGTCACTACTTCTAATTTTCTCTACATGCATGGAAACGTCTACTTATATAATAATTAAATACAATAAATCATATGGATTTTTAGTTTACATTCTCATGTATAAATTATGTAATGGAGGGAGTATCTACGTACAGTTGAAACGGAATGCATGCATGGGCATGTGTATATGATGATCCAAATCTTCTATATCTAAATAGCTAGCCTCCTCTAACATATTTCTCTCAACATACACATGCTTCACCTCATCATGCAAGCATTCATGAAAAAAACCTATCTCAACATGCCAACATGCATGAGAAAATGTTTTCCTTAATAATTAAATACACTAAATCATATATAATTTTAGTTTTAGTTTTAGTTTCTCCTATTATTTATACAAATATTCATGATCTAAATACCAAATTTCATGAAAACATATTTCATGAAATGCTAATTATATTCTTTTTCACACACAGTCCACCTGACCACCTATGTATGCTACCCCACGAACGTCACTACTTCTAATTTTCTCTACATGCATGGAAACGTCTACTTATATAATAATTAAATACAATAAATCATATGGATTTTTAGTTTACATTCTCATGTCTAAATTTTTGACCCGATTTTAGTTCACCTGACCACCTACACCTCCTAGCTTTGAGAAATTGTTAACCCGGTCAAAATCGGGTGACCCAATTCTAATCGGAGATCTCAATTGAATATGGGCTTTTTAAAACTAGGAGGTGTAGTGTTATACAGGATGAGACAACACTTATGTCGTACATCTCCATCTGCCATTCTGAATAGACGGAAATAAGGTACTCCCTCTGTCCAATAATATAAGAGCATTTTTTGACACTAGTGTAATGTCAAAACGCTCTTATATTATGGGATAGAGGGAGTAGTTTTCTTTATTAAGCTGCAAATAAGGTAGTTATAGACATGGGTGTCATTAATCCGATGTAGAATGAAAATTCCCTTCTTTAAAAATTTGATCCCTAGCAATATAAAAGAGGGTCATCATCGTCGGCGCCGGCATGTCAGGTACATGATATACTACCATATATGCAGGCCATTCCACTCACATAACTAGCCAGCTAGTCAGTAGACGTACTTAATGTTGTATGTTTGTATCCGCTTGATGCTACAATTTTGAAATAATAAAACGTCCTTTATCAAAAAAACTTAATGTTGTACGTTGTCGTAGGGATCTCGGCCGGGAAGCGGCTGTCGGAGGCTGGGATAACGGACCTGGTGATCCTGGAGGCGACGGACCACGTCGGCGGGAGGATGCACAAGCGAGACCTCGGCGGCATCAAGGTGGAGATGGGCGCCAACTGGGTGGAGGGCGTCAACGGCGGCAAAATGAACCCCATCTGGCCCATCGTCAACTCCACGCTCAAGCTCACCAACTTCCGCTCCGACTTCGACGACCTCGCCAGCAACGTCTACAAGGAGAAGTACGGCAGTCAGTCGAATGAAATGAATTACCATGAAAACGCAAGCTCAACTAGTTAATTACTCACTAATTAATGAAAGCATGCATGCATCGGATGTATAGTAGTACTAGTATTTGCAAATGGAAAGATTTACGTTTATACACAGGCATATTTTTCTGGTTTTTATACACATGCATGTTTTTTGCTATTTTCTAAAAACGTGTTAGTGTTATTATTTTGCCAGGGAGGAAGATTATTTATGACTTGTAGCATTTCAATGGGATATAAATGTGATATAAAAAAACACTCGATTTGAAAGGCCTCCCATAATGAAAGTATCATGAATATGATGCATGGCCAACGTAGAGAATGATGTACCCTGAAATTAATTATGTGAGTAACATCCCCGCAAAAAAAATTATGTGAGTAACATATTATGATACATTATCATAGCACATCAAATGAGAAACCTTAAATAGAAACAAGTCATAGACACAACTTTTTATTGAGATTCTAAAAATGCATAAGTAAAGTGTCATCACATGCATAATACTATCTTGTCATACTCCCCATTATGAGAGGTGAAAGGGGAAGAGGGCTAGCTAGGCCGGGCCCTCCCACCCAAGGTGTCTCCGCTAGCTCATCAAACAACATGCTGTCGGGTGAGTTCATTTGAGAGAATTGACCAAAAAAAAGTAGAAATCTATAAATATTTCCTATCTTTCCAAGTGTGAACCTGCAAATAGTATATGTTTTGTTCTACACGAAGAAGATACGAGGTTGTAAGCATTTACCCGCATACGTATGTAGCCTGTAAGGAGATATTTTATGCACAAGTATGCACAGTAACTACTTACCATCTTTAAAAAATAATGCATGAGAGGGAGCAAAAACAAGTAAGTGCCCCTTCATGGACACCAAGGGGCAAGATACATTTAGAAACAAGTAAGTGCCCGTTCATGGAACCAACGGGCAAGATACATTTTTTATAGTTCCGGCCTCGCTCTCTATCAATACCATACTAGCTTAATTATCTCTTGTCACAGAAAAAACTGTCTTAATTATCTAAATGCTGTAGAAATTATTACTATCTTACTGTACTTCACAAATGTTGACATGTCATGATGTTGCCGTGTACAAACTTGACAGGGGAGGTGTCTACAAGAAAGCGTACGTGCAAAAGAGAATTGACCGGTCAGACGAGGTGAAAGAGGATGGTGACAAACTGTCCGCCAAACTGCATCCCAGCGGCCAGGACGACATGTCAATCCTCGCCATGCAACGCCTCAACGACCAGTACGTATCTGCAGTGCTTAAATTATTACTCCTAACGAATAAGGGCGCATGCATTTTTGTATTGAATTTTGACCACAAATTATAGCAATCAAATATGGGTTAGTATGTGACAAAAAATATATTTCATTGATTCATATTCCAATGAATTTTTCAATGGTATAATTTTTATTTCAGAAAAATATATATTATTAGTATAATTTATGGTCAAAATTGAATTTCACAAGAACTCATGAATATTGTTAAAAATACTGAACATTGTTTTTAGAATTCCAGAATATTTTTCATGTTTTTGAAAGTAAATAAATTCACGATCATTTTAAATCCTTGAAAAGTTTTCATATTCATTAAAAAATCATATACCAGAACTACGTTTACATTCAAGAACATTAGTTGAATCCACGTACATTTTCCAAAATCATGAACAGTTTTTGCCAAGTTTGTGAACGATTTCGAAATTCAGGAATACTTTTAAAAATTGAAAACATTTTTAGATCGTGAACATTTCTTTATGTCATGAACAACTTTGAATTTACAAACAATTTTTAATACACATATTTTCTACCAACTCGTCAATATAAATCAAGAATATTTTGTTATGTTCATAAACATCTTTATTAGGTGTAGAAAAACTAGAACAATTTTTCGAATTTGTAATATATTTAATATAAAAAATCGGTCGAAAAATGCAGCACAAAATCTGACCGAAAAAGAACACTGGCATATTGCATTGTTGGTTTTTTATTTGTTTTTTCTTTATTTTTTATTTTTACTGTTTTTTATATTTTTATTCAGAAATTTAGAAAAGAATCTAGTTGACCGTGTACCGCAGAAAAGTTCATTGTACATTGATAAAATGTTCACCATATATTACAAGAGTTCACTATGTATTATAAAATGTTCATCATATATTAAGATAATTTTAATGATATATTATAAACATGTTCGATGTGTATTTAAAACATGTTCAGTGTACATTAGAAAATTTAACTGAAAAACTGAGTTTGTATTTTCAAAATGATCATCGCATATTCCCAAAATGATTATTGTATATTAAAACAATTCAGTGTATAATAAAGAAAAAAACAAAAGGTGCAAAAGGACAAAAAAAGAAAAAAAAATATCTACTACTTAAAAAGAATGTAAGGTTCCCATTTCACATTTCTTCCCACCATCCTTTCATCCAACCTTCCCCTGTATAATAATCAATCACCTTAATTGACTTACCTTCTAAACTAATTCCACTTTAATTTACTTATCAAACTTCTGATCAAAATATAAAGTAAATCACGGGCAGAACAGTTATTTACATAATCCCGTACTATTGGCAGGTAAATCCTGATCAAAATATAAGGTAAACCACGGACATATTTTGATAAACATTTATTTACACAATCACATATTACAGGCAAGTAAACACAATCTAACATATTAGAATATTTATATCTCGTTGCAAAACATAGGCGTTGTTCTAGTAAAGACAAAAACATGGTTTGTTGCAGCGAACCTGTTGCTACAGTACCTTTTACTCTATATTGATCCGGTTAGCTCAGTAGGACCATTCGCTACAATGAACGCTTATTGGACCGGCCCATTGCGCTTATGTCGCCACTCTGTGGGGCGTTCAAAATGAGCTCTCATAAAACACTAAGAAAAGTTCTATAAAAAGGCTTGAAAGTAGCTCCAAAAGACAAACAATAGAACCACATGTGAATATACATTTAGTCATGAGCTTGCTGTTCATAAGGCCCAAAATGCTAAACGTTGGCTTGCATTTGCATTGAGGTGAGGCATACTTAGTAGGGACAGTGACTCCTAAAATTTTTTAGCACGGATAGCCTTTGTCTCACTTCTAGCGAGAGAGAGGTATGTCTTGCCTTAGGAAACACACTAAGTGGTCCGGCATAGTAGCGTTTGTTTACCTGTATTGCTTTTTATTATTATTTTTACATCGGTTTATATTTTTGAGACATTCTGAATACATATATCCCCAAAAATAATTTACGTTCACTGCATATATTTTTCTTTAACATAGTGTAAAAAAGTTTGTTAGTTTTCAAAATGTTGATAGCATTCAGTAGGTTTTTTAATATAAAAAATGTTCACAGGTTTCAAAAATATACATGCTCCCTAAAATAATGTTCTTACAATGTAGAAATATGTTTGTCAATTCAGAACAAAAATCTTCCTTAACATTCAAAACATGTACATTACATTTAGTTAAATGTTCATGAGTTTCAAAATTATGTTCAGGAAACTTTTGAAAAAAATTATGCATTGTAAAAATGTTTGTGTAGCTTTAAGAAAAATGTTCTGTTTCATTCAAAAACATATTGGACCATGTATTCAAAAATTGCTTGTAAACATGTATTTGAAAAAATGTTAAGTATGTGCTCAGAAAATTTTAATCATGTATAAATATTTTTTTATATGTACATTGTGTATGAAAGAATAGACGTTAGGACATATATTGCTTTATATATTTTTTTTAAAATGTTAAGAGTGTATAAAAAATGCCCCTGATGGATAAAAAAAGTAGACATGTGTTAAAAAATAAATAAGAAAATAAGTAGAACTAAAGAAAATCAGTGAAGTCCAAAGAAAGAAACAAAGAAACCGAAGAAAGCTGATGGAAAATAATGAAAACCTGATAAGAAAACAACATAGAGAAAAATAAACTCAGGCGACATCTACAGTTCTTGGCCGGCAAGTAGCGCGGCGCCAGAAATGAGCTGGAGTTACGTCTTGCACGGGCAAGAAATAGCCATGTCACGCTTAGCAATCTTCAATCCTCCATTCTCATGAAAAAATAAAAATGATCATCCATCCGTTTGTCAGCCTTCCCAACGGGCCGTCCTCGCCAGTGGACATGATCCTGGACTACTTCAAGTACGACTACGAGTTCGCAGAGCCGCCGCGCGTGACCAGCCTCCAGAACACCGTCCCTCTCGCCACCTTCAGCGACTTCGGCGACGACGTCTACTTCGTCGCCGACCAGCGTGGCTACGAGGCCGTCGTGTACTACCTTGCCGGACAATACCTCAAGGCCGACAAGGCCGGCAACATCGTCGATCCTCGCCTGCAGCTCAACAAGGTGCTATATATATTCCCAATGAACCTGCATTGTTATTTCTTCGTCGGAAGTTGAATGAACTGAGCTATTTAAGCATGAGTGCTATACTTATCCACTGAGATTTTTGATGGCTTGCATTGCAGGTGGTGCGAGAGATCTCCTACTCCACGAGAGGCGTCGAAGTGAAGACTGAGGACAACAAGGTGTACAAGGCGGACTATGTCATGGTTTCAACCAGCTTGGGGGTCCTGCAATCAGATCTCATACAGTTTAAGCCACAACTTCCTGTTAGTTTCTTTCTTCTGTCTTGCTTGATTTACTGGTCTGTTGATTTGGTTAGCCGCACGCACTATTTTGAACTTGATTTCATGCACGCTGAATATGTGCATCAGACATGGAAGGTTCTGTCGATCTACCAAATCGACATGGCCGTCTACACCAAAATCTTCGTCAAGTTCCCCAAGAAGTTCTGGCCGGAAGGTAAAGGTAGGGAGTTCTTCCTCTACGCGAGCAGCAGGAGAGGCTACTATGGAGTATGGCAGGTAGCTCATACTAATAATCATGCATAAACATGTATATTGATCTCCAATACATTCCTTGCGACTTAAAGTCCCAATGGAATTGTTACGTTATTCAGGAGTTTGAGGCGCAGTACCCAGACGCCAATGTCCTCTTGGTCACCGTCACGGACGAGGAGTCGAGGCGGATCGAGCAACAGTCAGACAACCAGACCAAGGTAGAGATCATGGAGGTGCTGAGGAGCATGTTCCCCGGTGAGGATGTCCCCGACGCGACGGACATCCTCGTGCCACGATGGTGGTCCGACAGGTTTTACAAGGTTACCTTCTCCAACTGGCCCATCGGCGTCAACCGCTACGAATACGACCAGCTCAGGGTGCGGCGTACCTGCCAATAATATCATGCTCCCGAATTGCTCATGTGACACTTTTGCGATTGCACCTTATGTGGTTTCCCCCTGTGACATATATATAGGCACCAGTCGGCAGGGTTTACTTCACCGGGGAGCACACCAGCGAGCACTACAATGGCTATGTCCATGGAGCTTATCTTTCAGGTATGACAATGTCTTATGGCTTGCCTTGAGTTATAAATGTTTTACTTTCAATTGAGGTAACAAATAAAACTTGTTCACAACGTCTTATGGCTTGCCTTGAGTTATAAATGTTTTACTTTCAATTGAGGTAACAAATAAAACTTGTTGACAACGTCTTATAGCTTGCCTTGAGTTATAAATGTTTTACTTTCAATTGAGGTAACAAATAAAACTTGTTGACAACGTCTTATGGCCTGCCTTGAGTTATAAATGTTTTACTTTCAATTGTGGTAACAAATAAAACTTGTTGATGTTGATTTGATGCTTATGTGTATTATTCACGGTCTTTTTTCTAGGTATTGATTCGGCGGACATTCTGATCAACTGTGCTCAGAAGAGTATGTGCAAATACCACGTCCAGGGCAAGTATGACTAAAGATCTTAGAGGTAACTTTTACAAACAGACTAATCCTCTAAGCGTTGGCGATTGTGAAGCATGTCCTCATGATACTCTGTGGTGGCGAACTGTAGTTGCTGACCATCCTTTTATTTACTCCATTTCTCTTTGCAGGGCTTTGCGTCATAAATGTATGATGTCAATTATAATAAAATTAAAGGAGGGTCATGAATGGATATCAATATAGTGATACCATAATACGTGTCCGCAACTTCACTGCATAGTGTCGTGTGGCACGACAACATTCATTCATGCTAAACCATTTCTTTTCAGATTGTTGGTTGTTTCTTTGTTATTCCCTACGGTTTAGTTGTTCGCCTGATGTATCAGTTCAAGATGTTTATGTGTTCTCTTAAATTGAACAAAAGTGTTGTCTCAATTGTGTATTATATGTCATACTCTATTTATTTCGTAACATCATCATGCGACGCCTGCACTTGGTAAAGGAAAAGAAAATCTTGTGGCACCAAATTAAATTCAAGAAAGATACTCACGCATAGACATGAAAAACACACGCACACTTGTAGACCTATGCGGTAAAATGTGCATCTTGCATGTGCAAATAAAACAGTCTTCGGATAAGCTAAGCTCTCGCGTGAACAACACATTTGTATAGAAAATACGGCACCATTTGTGGTAAATCAGTTGTTCGGATTGTTATTTGTGTCTTTGTTGTCTAGTCTTGTTGTTTATTAGATGTACCTATGGACTGTCAATGTTCGCTAAAGTTGCATAAAATATTTGTGGATCATGTCATGACCATGAGAAACACTTGCCCAACTAAGTGAAAGGAAAATCGTGCAATGACAAAATTCAAGGAAGAAAAATCTTGGATGTAAACATGAAAAATCATATATGCACCAGCAAATTTATGTGCAAAGCTATGCATATTAAGAAGAGATGGATCCTCTATTTGACGATCACCATGGTGATCTCTCTTAATCTCCATCCATGGCTCTTCCCTTGGATCCCTCTAGAGATATCCTCGCCCCATTGTGCATGTTGGACTTCACCCAAGGTCATGCTCTTCCGGAAAGGTTTGTGATCTCTTGTCTATACCCTAGCAAATCATGTCTTCTCCTCCCGTCGGTTCTTCTTGGTGGTATTGTTGGTCACTTGTTTCAGCTAGATCCACTCAATGTGATTCTTGCACTTTTAGCTTGTCCCTGAGCTGCATATGATGCATTGGAGGTGATCCATGTATCTTCTCGGGTCTTCATCTTCTCATTATGCTCCGGTTCAGTGGGTTGCGAACTATACCACGAGGTTTTATAGCGGTTCACGGCAGTGCGTGTTTCACTGTACCGGTTCACTACAGCCGCGGTTTACTATAGCCCGTGCTTCAAATACTTGTGAGCATTTTTTGAGAAAGTTAGCAGTGTATAAAAACTTATGAACATTTTTTGAAAAAATAGGAAGAAATTTTGAAATTCCAAACGATTGTTTCAAAATTGTTAATATTTTTGAAAGCGTGAACAATTTAAAAAAATTGAAACAACATTTAAAATTTGTGTACTTTTTTTAATCCAAAATATTTTTTGGAAAACACAAACACTTTCTGAAAACATGATTTTTGTTCGAAATTACAAATAATTTTAGAAAATATTGAACATTTTTAAATTTTGTGCTTTGTAGAAAGAACAGGAAAGAAAAACAAAAAAGAACAAAACTGAGAAGAAAACAGGAAAACCCTGTTTAGAAACCGACTAGAAGCTTCCCAGAACCAGTAAAAACTCAGGCTAGAACCATCTGGAACGTTCTTCGTGACCAGCATCCAGTTATAGAAGTGATAAAGGGGCATGCGCAGTTAAGATCGCTCGTCTGGTTGTGTTCTCTATGCGAAACGATAAAAAAACGCACGAGTGTTATATCTCGCATTAAGCGAGTGCTCCTTTAGACTCGCTGGAGCTTTTTGCCCCGTGCTGTAGCGACTGGACCGGTCCAGTTGTAACTGTTTTTTTTTTCATCACTGGTTTGTTCGCCATGCTCGGTGGGTTGGTACGTTCCGTTTTTTTTAAGAAATCATTTCTTTTTCGTTTTTCTTTTTGTTATCTTCGTCTTTCATTGTTTTTCTGTCTTTTTGTTTTCTTTGCTTTTCTCATCGATTATCTTCCTTGCTTTCCTGGTTTTCACCGGTTTTGATATTTTTTTCAATGTTTTTATTTATTTCCTTTCTTAGTTTTCATTTGATTTTCGCTATTCTCTCATGATGGCATGGCTCGAGACCGCATGTTATTCCTTCCATGCGTGCTACTACCAAATTTTGAAACACAATTTTTTTATGTAGTTGCAACTTTTATGTGCTTATGACATGCTAATAAATTATGATCTCATCTTCTATTTTTATAGTTGGGAGTGATTTTTTTCACAGTACAATCCCATTGATTATATCTAAACACATATTAAATGGCACCACAAGGATTTACATTTCCTCCGCAGATGTAGATGTGCTTAGAATGAAAGGTATGTCAGATTAGAACACTTATGCAACAACATAGCTATTGCCAGATGTTTGCATAAGGTGGATGGTACAGTTAGCTCAGGGCAAAGCCGCATCATACTCTCGCAATTACTAAGGTATAAATAATATTTTACACAAAGCTGGAATAGCTCAGTTGGCTAGAGCGTGTGGCTGTTAACCACAAGGTCGGAGGTTCAAGCCCTCCTTCTAGCGTATTATTTAATTTCTCTTTTTAATTTTTAGTAATTCACACCATTGCTATTTTCGTTTTTGTAAATTGTTCATTGTCTACATTAGTTGCTCTTCCTCTATCCATCCAAGTCTAACTTTCTTTACATTGCAGCTCTAACATTGCATGCTTGGGCATGGATCAGAGGTCTATTAATTAGCTTAGCTAGTAATCTAGTACTATCCTTGATCAAAGCATGTGTTTCGGTGGCCTGCACGTCTGCCTCTTGCGGTCTTTGCAGCGGATCCAGCATGCACGGCTAGCTATATATCGGACCAGTGGCGGATCCACCATTGGGGCGAGCAGGCGCGGTCGCCCCAGGTCGCCGGCGGCGGAGCAGGCACCCCTCCCTACCTATCCTTCACCCAGCAGGCAGCGGCGACGAGCAGAGCAGCCAGTTCAGTCCGGCTGCGGCGCTGTATCTGTAATTCTGCATCGGAGGAGGAAGCAGACTAGACGAAGGGGTACGCTCGGGAGGGAAATGGGCTGGACTGGGCCATGTTTACACTTAAGGAAACCCCAATTAGGCTAGAATCGCACGGGATTGGTGGAATTTGGTCCTAATTAGAGGCTCTGCTGAATAATTTCCTGGTTCTAGTGCATATTAGAGCAGTTACATTGGTTTTGTTTTTCAATGCAACTTGCCCGGCCCTGCATCTTATCAAAAGCTGCAGCTGTTATCACACTTGCGCTAAAATTTACATTCATATTTTTTTGGTTCATATCTTGTAGGAGTCGCTTGGTATTGTGGGGTCGTATTGTGGCATCAAGTGAGCATTTCAAGCGGCAAGAGCCTATGTTAGTAGTAGTTTTTAAGACCTTTTTATGCTTCTTCTTTTTTGTTTTTAGTAGTTGAATTTCATGAGTCTTGGTTGAGTAGATTTGCATTTGTACCTTTAAATTTTTTGGCCTTAAATGTTCGCCCCGGCTAAGTTCAATTCTTGTGTCCGCCACTGTATCAGACCAGTACTGCTGTGGCTGCTGGACTAGGAGCACCATGGAGGCTTTGGACAGTACCATGGAGTATGATGAGGCACTGAAAGGCCATGGAGCGTGCATGCGCCCGCACGTGCATATGCAATTAGTTAGCCGCTTCCAATCCATGTCCAAATGTGTCCGTCCATCGGATTGAAAATGGCACCATGCTAGCTAGCTGGCTAGAAAGCGCAACGACTCTCTAATCTACCTACCATGAGCATGTTCTGTCATGCAAAAAATGGTTTCCACATAACTTACTGACCTGCATGTCCGGTCACCGCATTCGGAAAATAGGTGTCGAGACGACGACTAGAGACGGTGTCGTGTCTACCCTTTGGGCGCCGAGAGTGTGTTCTCCCTCTGCTCTCTGTCAAGTAAGATGACCGGCTGAGCATTATTAGTTTAGCGACGATAACAAGATTAGTTCTTTATTCCCCCAGCCAAATAAAGTCGCCGTGGTCTCCGTTTTTGCGAGTAAATGACACTAGCTAGAGGTCACAAAACTTGTGCAGTGGGTGCACTTTAGACACACCTTCTTGAAAGTCAGAATATCAGATCACACAACTCATGTTTTGGGTCCATATGGATTATAACTTAAGTTCGGTTGCATATAGATGACAACCAAAAAACTAGAACGCCCGCCACGGCATTGATCTGTGGCCAGGTCGTCATGATTCGTTGTTTGCTACATGGAGGAAAGGTGTCAAAAAGTGGGTATATATAGGACCACCCATGAAGGGGTAAGTGAGAAGGGAAAGATACATGGGCCCATATCCTAAATCACTGCATTTAGGCATGCCAGAAGTTCTGGGGCTACCCAGAGGATCCGGGGACCAGATATTCCAGGGTAGAATTCATGATAGTTCTGGGATGCATATAAGGTTTGCAAGTGTTGGCGCGGGCGAGGACGAAAGTTGTCCAAAAGTTTCGGGCATGTTCCAGGATTTTCAAAAGGTTGGCACAGTCACATAGGGGTATTCCCGGAAGTTCTGAGCTGGACGGTCAAAAGTTCTAGGGTTCCATGAGTCTTCTCTTTGGTGCATTCCGGCATCGCCTTGTCCACTTCATCTTTGAGATTCCTTCTTCATTCCATGCTTCCCTCGCATATCCGACAAAGGGAATATATAAATATCGCGAAGATACCAATTACACCCAGCCTCTGAAACAACGAAATATCCTAAGGACATTCGGATGCACACAACCTAAAAACATAAGCACACTTGTAGATTTATGCGGTAAAATGTACATCTTGCAACCCAATTACACCCAGTCTTGTTGTTTATTAGATGTACCTATGGACTGTCAATGTTC